GAGGAGGAGGAGGAGAAGGAGGAGGAGGAGGAGGGAAACGAGTGAAGTGCGATGTCACTTCGTTCTCACCTTCATCATCACGGATCAAAAAAACGGCAACCACCAGAGAGGACAATGGGAGGAGGTGGTTGAAATAATTTATTCATTATAATAAGCACAATCTTCCAAACCCAGATGGAGTGCTTGTAGACTTTTTCGCTTTCAAAGAGCACAATTAATAGTTGTTGCATAAATACACTCGCTTGAAATAACACCAATGCTTGAATTTTCGTTTTCACGATAAGCATCAGAAAATGTGGGTGGGCGGAGGAGAGAGGAGGAGACAACGAATAATTGATGACTGCTTTGTCTTGATGGCAAAAATATATGTGAAAGCATATGAATTTACGGGTCAGAGGTGACAAATGGTGTGGATGATTAAATCTAATTCATTTCATTAATTCCTCCAACTTCAACACTTTTTGATCCAAATATGCAGGGGAAGAAAACATATCGCCTTCTTTGAAATGTTGAAGTGAGAAGGAAGATTAAGCAGAGCGTCATCAACTTCAGAGATCACAGAATTTACTGAAGCCTGACAACAAATTCTTTTCTTTCTTGATGCACTGAGGGAAGGCGGAAGGTATGAGAAAACGATGCACATTTGAAGTCTCTCACCAAACACCACAGGAAGCTTTTAGCCTTCACCAGACGTTCTCCATCGTTTCGTCGTGACGTCTTTCTTCTGAGGTGGGAGAGAAAGGGGCGGTGAGTGAATGGGAGGAAGTGGGAAGTGGTTGATTGTCAAACAAACCTACTCACTCCTTTCCACAACATTTGAAAGAGCAACTAGTAGGTGTTGATGCGAACAATCTTGCATGTCTACTTGGCATACTTTGATTGCTTGTCTGGATCACGACACCACGTCGGACCGGTGGTGGCTGGCGCGTCTTGTGCCTCTGGACAGAGTGAGTTGTATGAGTGGTGCCTTCTGAGGTGTCACCGACACCGTCCTTCTCACCTGGGTGACCACGAAAGAGGCAAATGGAAGTGTACATGCGCAACATGTGCCACGTGAAGTGTTGCCGCTTGCAAATAAAGCTAAGTGGAAATAAATAGACATTCACTTCTCACAAATTTTCTAACCACCATCCTATTCTGCATCCAATTAAAACAATGTCTACGTTAATGGTTCGCAATGAAGCTTTAACTTTTACCACCATCTAGTATCTTCCCTAGAAATTCTTAAACTACATTCCATACAACCTGTCTTGCCTAATTGGCAGCATTACCCAACCAAAATGCAAATTGAATGATAAATCTTGGCTAAGGAATGCTGGAAGAAATGACTGACTAACCACTCCACACTCCCAAGAGAGAGTATTTCGCAATCAATCTGACTTTTCCATTTACGCATTTATGAGAGGGAACGCTACGCACCTTTGTACAACAAGATGGGGAAAAAAGTGAAGGGATCGGTACCTCCCATTTCCTTCCACAAATATCCTGTGACAGGCCTCGACTGTAGTAACCCCGCAAATGATGTGTGAAATCTTCGCACTATCGTAAAAGCTTGATCACAAAGCTGTCATCCTCATCATCACTATTTCAAGACATTTAAGCAAATGTTCTCGTGTTAAATTTGCTTTTGAATGCATGTCACGGCTCCAGTACCAAAAACGCAGACAATAGAAGTTTTCTCTTCTTTCCATTGAAAAAAAAAAAAGACGCCAAATTTAATACTTCAAAATTCCCCAAATCATTGTAAATAATAAAGAAAACACTCAACGACTTGCGTTGGCCCCACTACCAAATATCATAAAAACTAAGGTGGATAAAGGAAGAAGGCGAAGGAAAACAAAACAAAGTTCACACCCCTGTACTGTACACAAGTGTTGTCCCACTCTACATTTCGTCATCATTCTTGGCCAAATCCTTCAGTTTCCTCAATAGCAAGAAGGAGTTTTTCACGCAATTGGTCATATGAAGTGTAAGGTGGTAAATCTAAACGGTTGAAGCAGGTGTGACTGCGTGGCAACCAGGCATCGGTACCAGTTTTCTCGATGCAGAAGAGTTGACGTCCGTTGCTTCCTAAATAAACACAACAAAATAGACAGTAAGAAGAGTAATCAGTGTAAACTTAATGACTCAAATTTATACGTCATTGACAGGAAAACCATATTGCAGGAGAGGTGCAGTATTAAACGCCATTCATTAACCACTTTGAACATCATCACGCGAATCTACTCTTTGACTTTTGCCGAAGCATTTCGGTTGGGAAAAAAGGCATCATCGTGTGGTTTTGTGGTCATGCGTCTCCTCGGTCTTCCCAAGGGCCACTCAACATCCACCCTCTACGTCCTCCCTTCTCATCATGAAGGAAGGGCGAAGGGATGGAGGAGAGGGACAGTTCGTGCGTGACGTGCAAGGTGTAGCCAATTTAGACTTGATTAAGGTGCTCGCTCAACCATGCAACATTGACACACCAAAACACAAGTAGCGACATTTGTCATAAACTTTTGCG